CCCAGGGCAGCGCGGGGTCAATCCCTGAGCGAGCTCGCCGGGCTTCCTTTCCATCTCGGAAGGAGCGCTCGCCCCTCTCCTACAGAGCCCCTGCAGGGGTCGCTTGGCCCCTCTAGGATGTGCGGCCCAGGCTCACCTCGCCCTCCTCGCCCTCCTCCTCCTCGTCGTCCTCGTCGCCCTCCTCCTCGTCGCCCTCCTCGTCGATGTCCTCCAGCCCTTCCTCCTCCTCCTCGTCGTCGTCTTCCTCCTCCCCCTCGCCCTCCTCGTCGTCCATGTCCGGGACCTGAAAGACCAGGAGGCACGTCAGGCTCACTTCTAGACAGTTACGACACGCGGGGCCTGACCACCGCCCAGGGCCACGCACCAAGTAGTACTGCAGTGGGTTGGGCCAGATGTCGTCCTTGATGACCTCCCCCAGCTCATCCGCGCCCGCGTCCGAGTGGTCGGTGAACCAGGTGAAGAAGCTCTCGGGCTCCTCGTGCTGCCTCTTCCTGCTGGCCTTGTTCTGTGTCTGACTCGAACGTTTCGTCAAGTCCTAAACGAAAGCGGAAGACACTGACACAGGCTCCCCGGAAACCCGAATTCCCTGCAACTCAAGCAGTAGGATGTCAACCCAAAGGAAAACAAAAAACAGACGCCCGTCCCGCACGTCATCACCTGTAAGAAACTACAAGAGAGAAAAAGGCCTAGAGCTCAGGCCTATAGGCTGCTGTCAAATCTGTACCATCACCTAAATTTGGCTTTTTCGTAAAACGAGTTCCACTCAACCACCACCCTAACATACTATAAATTAAATTTACTAAATAAATGCAGGTGGAAATGGATTTTGGAAAGCGGCATCCCATTGGAAGAGCTCAGTCACAAATTAAGAAACCAAAAAAACTAGTCCATCTCTATAAAAACGTGTAAGAGCTCCAAGCTATTATATTTGACCTTAACACACTGGAGTTTGTTTCATCCGCACCTGAGGACACACTGAGAAACACTGATGTGAGAGACAAACATGGATCGGTTGCCTTCCGTTTGTGCTCTGATGGGGAGTTGAACCCACAACCCAGGCAACGTGCTCTGACCGAGAATTAAACCAGCAACCTTTCCGTGCACAGGACAATGTTCATCCAACTGAGCCCCTCCGACCAGGCTGATTTAATGTATTTTAAGGACTTGCGTAACACATCACACCAGAGCACCAAGTATTGGTACACGATTCAACTAAACCAAAGTAGACAAAATGTTTTTTGCCAAGCCATTCCTCAAATACCTTTCCAGATTTCCATTTGATTTCAGTGGACTTCGAAGACGGATCACCACTCTCATTCAGGTGAAATTCTTTGGAGAGAACTTTATTTTCGAAGTAAGGATTTTCATCAAAATACTGCAACAAGTAATCAGAGGATTAGACATCAATACACACAGCTCTTCTAAACCAGATCGCAGTTAATTTTCAGAGTGGCAAAAGCCAGAGCTGCGGGTACTCACAAAGTCTATTCTGTACCCTGACTTGATGTCTTCGAATTCCGTCACCTCGACCCTCGTCAGGTAGTGCAGGGCCTCTTCGTCTTCCTCTCCCAGCAGCGCCGACACTAGGGCGAATGACAGGCATGTGAACTGACATGGGCGCCCAGAGCCACCCCAGCGCTTGTGAAAGCACTTTAGAAATTTCCTGGACTTAGGGAGCATCTTTGGCATTATTCGCTGAAAACCCAATGCCCGAGTGTCCGTGTTGTCACTACCTTTTCATCAAGCAACTAAAGGAAACCCCAAGAGAAACCCCTCTCCAAGGAAACAAATAGCACTATCAGCCCCCAAGCGTTTCCGCCTCTGGTGTGACCAGCACACAGGACCAAGCCCTCAATCACGGGTTCCCGTTCCCCTGCTTGGCAAGGGGACGTGCACCCCACGCTCTTTAACAATGCTCTGCTGTAACATACCTTGTGGATGGTTGACAAATGTTGTTACCCAAAAATTTGGAATTTTGGCGATCAATTCTGACCTCTTCTGAAAAAATGGTTGGCGGAGTTTGTTATATTTCTGTTCTACTTTCAAAATCTCCTCACTGGCTTGTTCATTAAGTCTGAAGCAAACGAAAAAACAAATGTTGATAATGACTGTATTTGACAAATACAAAAATTGCTGAGACTACAGAATATTTACTCATTAGCTTTAGAACAGTGCAAAGCACCTACTTATAATACCTGAATCCCCTAGACTTTTGTACCTATAATAAATTCAAAACTAAGATGGCAATTTTATCTGGGTTAGGCACCTAATTAGTTGGCAGCTCAGAAGTGCCCAAACCGAACATTCTGGTAGCACTGTATATTTACTTCCCCGGTTCTACCACCTCCCTAACTTCAGCGGTCTCCCTCTGGCAGATCAAGGGGGAAAGACTGCTAAGCAAGTCAGAGCAGCACTGACGCCCAGAAGTCCACGCTCTGCAATTCGGAGAATCTGTAGCCCATGAAAGCAGACCCAGTCTTCACAAGGTAAACGTAGTTTCATCCAAAGCTTTTTGGTGACTACAAATATTTCGCCCCCCAAAAAACCACCGACTCTTCCTATTCCCATGAAGTTATACCCATCTCCACTGAGGCAGTGGACACAGACTCAACCAGGTTAGAGATCACCAGAGTAAGACGCACTTCCAAAAACTTCTGGAAAGCACTCTAAGACAGACGTTACCTGTCTATTTCATTTTGTACTTCATCGATATGTTCGATTGCTTCCTGCTGTTCTTTTTCTGCAAGAAAAAGGTGCATAAAACTCAGTACTAAGTTAAGATACATTTATCTAGCTTTCCTGACGTTCACACTGTCTGGGATGAGTTGTATCAATAAAGCTGTTAAAAAAAAAAAAAAAAAAAAGGAA